TGGATTGAATTCTGATATTTATTCCCCCAACATGTAAGACGATATGTTTTTGTATTGACATAATCGCCACTCCCCCATAAACCCTCTATATTATATAATCAATTTTATTGCACATGATGCTAAATTATTGTAAAAATTTATAAGGTTAATCAAGATTAAAGGTTTTTCTATCAATAAACTCTCTAAATTTATATATCTTCTTAGGAATAGTAATTTCTGGATTCTCATCATACCATACTTCAAGAAGATAAATCCCGTTAAGTTGACACAAGGTTCTTTTCTTTCGATCATGGTCAACAATATCCTCGAGTTTTTTAACATCTTTATACCAACTAGTGCTGTGAAACCGATGCTGTGCTCCTTGTACCTCCAATGCAATTCGATTAATTCGGAAGAAGGCATCAAGTTCTAATCCTCCCATAAACGATGGACGATATTCAACTATGGGTTCCTCATTAAGAAGTATCTGGGTTATTAGAATGCATTTCTCCTGAAATTTACGATTTTTCTTAGACTCTAGTTCCTTTTTAAATTCATCTAAATCCTGTTTTAACTTTATATTCTCGATTTCAACTTCTTCTTTGTCATGCTTTAACTTCGTATTCTCAGTTTTGATTTTGATATTCTCATTTTTCAATTCATCTATTTTCTTTTCTAATTCAGGTACTAAATTGCAGAATATATCGCGATAACTCGCTCTATCAATAATAAGAAAGCAAAGATAGAATTGTAATTTCTTTACCAATTCATTGATCTCTTTATCTTCGAATGATCTGGGTTCAAGAAGTCGTTTGAAAATCATTTCTTTAGGGAATGTTCTTATCTCGTTCCAAAGATCTAAAGATCGCCCCGACACCAATTCCAATAAATCAATTGTGGGTTGCATATTTGTCATTGCTTTAATAAAACACGGTTGTATTCAAAAGTTCGTTTATTAGCATTAATTACAAAAGATACATGTTACTTAAACACTTGCCAGAGGCGGTGCCGAATTGTTCCACAATAGATTAGAATAAGTTCGGAATCAAACGAAATATATCTAATCAAGCTTACCATTATTTCATCATCGATATCATTAATCAAATGAACGAGTATATTCCGCAAAGTAATAATAAGGTAGGGTTTGGTTTATTATTCAACTAGTTTCTTTAAACATGTCATCACGATGCTAATCGATTTTCCCTACTCTATAGATGTTCCAAATAAACGGACATATTACTCTTCATGCTATATATCGGCATTTTGATATTCGCCGAGAAAATCTTTGACTATCATCACGCGTATAGTGGGCGCAGTGAATTAAAGTCTGGACGGAAATATTATCTAATCTAATCGACAACGATCAGAATCATGTGACTTTGAAAGATAAATTACGTATTATAATTGGGTTAGGAGATTTAACTTTTTTGCTAGATGATTTATGACGCGTAAAAATTTTCTTCGTACGTTATAAAAATGTACCTTTTACCTAATTGTATCGACGATTTGAAATACAGTGGTAAGAAATCTGTACTATTATCTCTTTATGACAATGCTTTACAGCGTAACATGTTGTTTGTAAAAATATAGACTTTTGGAAGAACACGGAGGAGCCTTCGCTTAATAAATTCTTGAGTTTCCGATTACACCAAAATAATTTGGAAGAAAGCGAAGTGGAGCATCGTCGGTATAAAGATGAACTGAAGAGTATTAGTAATTACTATGATGAAGAATCTGAAATTGGGAAGGTGTTGATATGGAAACAAAAGTTCAAGGCAAGTATAAATTTATTTGTTGATTTGACACTATGCCATCGCCAACTACCATTGTTGGTTGCTTACTGGCAGGGGAAAGGTTGCTTACTTGTTGGTGTGTTAGTGTATAGTGTATTCGTACTGTGTTGTCATAAACTACCATGCTGGTTGCTTACTGGTAGTGGGAAAGGTTGCTAACTTGTTTGTAGTTAGATTTATGTTATTTCTTACATGCAAGTTAGGATAAAATTAATAAATCGTTATTCTTTTCTTTCTCCTCTTAAAAATGAATATTTATAAGCGCGATAAAAACTCGGCAGAGGTAAAACTTTTCTGGGAATTACAAGTGAAAAAACAAGATATTCTTAAGGAGATCAGATTGCTTGAGGAGAGATGCAAGTTACTTGAAAAGGAGCAAGTATGTTGTCTTTATGATGTTTTCGAAGTTTAGGTGATCTCGTTTATGACAATACTTCCTAATGTCTGCAAATAGACCGAAATGGAGAACAAAATGTGTCTTGAACAGACCCAACATATTTTGCATGCGACGAGAGAGACCGTAGATCAAGGCCTTTCACTACAAAGATCAATTGTAGAAAAATTGAAGAAACGTGTGCTGGATGAGCCGTATGCATCTTGCGAACCACCAAAAAGGAGGTCCAAAGTCACTAATAGTGATATAATCGCAGAATCTCATTCTGAATCTAATGCAGAGACCGACATAACCGAAGATAGTGATATAATCGCAGGATCTCATTCTGAATCTAATGCAAAGACCAACATAACTGAAGATAGTGAAATAATTGCGGGATCTCATTCTGAATCTAATGAAGAGACCGATACAGAAGTGATTAACATAACTGAAGATAATGCAGAAATCGAGAGTCTCACACAGGTATTTGGCATTCGCTATCTTTTACATACGATAATTTTCTTTACTCATACTTTGATCTCTAGAATGAGAGGGATATTCGCAAAAAATTACTTGAAGTTTTGGACACAATCCAAGACAAAGAAAGAAAATCTAAAGAGGACCATATGTCATCGGTATACCTAAATAATATATTGGATTTGTCCGATTTAGAAACACGCAGAAGA